CTACGGGACTCTACGGGACTCTACGGGACTCTACGGGACACTACGGGACACTACGGGACACTACGGGACACTACGGGACACTACGGGACTCTACGGGACTCTACGGGACTTTACGGGACACTACGGGACACTACCGGACTCTACGGGACACTACGGGACTGTACGGGACTCTACGGCACTCGATAACACTAAAAAACGCTTGAATCCCTTGATAACGCTTGAAAACGCTCTGAAAGCGCTCGATAACGCTAGTAGGAAAATGTAAAAATCATACGCGAAATGACTCGGCTTATATCCGTAGCATTCGGCTCTCGCGCATACTCGTTATGAGTGTAGCGCCGAACGCCCTCATACTCAACGCCTCGATCCGTAGCTTGGCGCTTGGCTGGTTGGTGCGCGCGAAGATTTCTAGGAGCGATCGCACTCGCACAGATTCGCTGCATGCGACTTCCGTACGTGATATCGACGGGTGCCCCACAGCTCCGTATCACGTCGACTTCGGGGCAACAATGTACTTAGAGTAAAGATGGCGCCACAGGTGTTCTTCCCTTACCATCAAAGTGTGCAGTTCGGTAAACGTAGGTAAGCCACAACCGTCACCTGTCTCATGGTATTACCATCACGAATACGTGAGCCGCCAACGGCAACTGGTAGATGGCACCGCCATCGCGAGTGCGCGAGTCCCTACCAGAAATTCGTTGCGCCGCCCTTGGGGGCAAAAAACGGTGAAAGCTAACGTACGAAACCAGAGGGCAGCAAACGATGCGATCGCGCGACCCTGCCCGTAAGCAATCTCCCAACTCATCTCTGGTAGAGATGAGTGTAGGATCCCTGAGTTAGGTCGCTGTTGTAAGTAAATGCGTTAGCCGCCTGCATTCTCCACCAAGAGCAGTACACAGCGCAGCACGTGATCATGCGTACGAGCAATCTCCCATCTCGTCTCTGTACGCACTCTATCTTCAATGGTCACCTCATGTCGTATGAAATTGTATGAAATCCACCTAAATAAGCATGCTGACAAGTTGTCTAGTCTGGAGTTGAAATCAGTATTGACTATTACGATTGATGCAACAATCAGTGATAATGCTACGTGTCTCCAAGTCCCAAAAACCGAGAGCTCGACCGATAGCCGAATTTCGCAATTAACAATGGAGACGGTAAACCGCGGTTGGAAATCATTTTCCATCTCTTGTCCTTGAGTGTATAATTACAAAATAGCCGTGTTTTCAGGATATATAACGGATCTACTAGCTTTCTATTTCTTTGTCTCGTGATAAAGTATGGTACTTAAGAGGCCGATAAGTTCTGGAAGGAAGCTAAGGTGATTATATGCTCAGCGAATACACCGGACAGTGGCACCACTGCCTCCATACCAAATTAGTTATCTTATATTTATATTTGCTGTGAATATGGAAGCTACGGAAGTGGACTTGGACGATCCAAGATTTCGGATCAGGCCTTACCAACAGATGATAGCTTCTTGTACGGGTGCTTTGATCACGTCGATCTTTGGTAATACCGCTATTACTTTCGCTGACGGAAATCTTTGCGTAAATGGTTAGGAAGGGTTATTCCATGCGATTAATGCTATTATTTTATAGTTACCCCTTTAGATGTTGTCAAGATTCGATTGCAGACTCAGCAGAAGGCTCTGCTATCCAATAAATGCTTCCTTTATTGCAACGGACTTATGGACCATTTGTGTCCCTGTCCCGATGGCCGAATACCTGAATGGATACGAGCTAGCGGAAAATTTAATGGAACACTGGTAGGCGTAGCACATAGAACTCAAAATGATCGGTATCTTGAAAGTGACTATTTTATTGCATTTTGTTAATTGTCAGGATGCTCTAGTTAAAATAGGGAAAAGAGAGGGCATACTTTCCCTGTGGAGCGGATTAAGTCCTACTCTTGTTTTAGCAGTACCTGCAACGATAGTTTACTTTGTATCATACGAGCAACTGAGGCTACACTTTAAGGTAAAGAGATCATTTTTATCCGAATGTAAAGTTGAACGGAAGTGGTTAAATATTAATTTTTAATTCATTTATTACCAAATGATGACACAAAGTTTATCATTTAAGGATTCATATAATTCAAAAATTCTCAAGACAAAAGATAACAAAGACCAGCCATTTTGGATTCCAATGTTAGCAGGTGGAATTGCGAGAATTTGGGCAGCTACATTAGTGAGCCCCTTAGAGTTAATTAGAACAAAAATGCAGTCTCAGAGACTGAGTTACGCAGGTAAGGCCTCGATTAAACAATGTATTAAAGTAATACAAAACTAAGTATTTGTTAATTCCAGAAATAGGAGTCGCTCTGAAAACCGTTGTGAAACACAGCGGAATATCAGGATTGTGGATGGGTTTGTCCTCGACTCTTCTTCGTGATGTTCCGTTCAGTGCAATATATTGGCTAAACTATGAGACGATCAAGCAAGTATTCCGCAACTCCCAACAGAACTTCTCCTTCAATTTCATCGCTGGAGCTGTAGCAGGATCTGTACGTAATGCTTTCATAAATCAGACGTTAATAAAAGTACTCAAAGACAACGACAGGAAAATAACCAAATCTTTGCAGATAGCTGCGATCGTTACCATTCCGTTTGACGTTGTTAAGACACATAAGCAGATCGAAATGGGAGAAAAGGAGATTTACTCAGGTAATTCCTAGTTCTGACTTATCGATGAAAAAATTGAAAAGTAAATGTGCAAACCTTGGAAGACTGACTCGATTGACCCACAATTACCGAATAATTTCCCTCCACAGACCGACCTGGACGCAGCAGCGGCACGTGGGCGATAATACGAAGAATCTACGACCAACATGGAGTTCGAGGCTTATTTACCGGACTGACTCCTAGACTAGTTAAAGTGGCTCCGGCGTGTGCGATCATGATCGCGACTTTCGAACACGGGAAGCGCTTTTTCCAGTCGTACAACGCGAGCCGAATGCTCGAGCTCGACGGTGACGTTCACTTTCTAAAACACAAGCGCACCACGTAGCCTAATTCGGAGGACCTTTTGACCCTGTACATAATGTATCCCGGTTGAATAGATTTATTTCGAAAATCGAAGCGCCCAGATTTAGCCTATTTTTATTTATCTACGGAATCTAATTTCCGAGCGACATCCGCGCGATGACCCGATAAATAGCATTACATTCCTCCCGTTTAAAGATCCATTACGTGCCTCCTCTGATACAACCTTCTCGGTCAAGTTTCAAATAATTTTTCATAATTTCCAGCCTAATCAGAGACGGCCCGACCTTGGATTATTCGGCCAATTCGGGAATAAAAAACGCGATCCGACCGGCGAGGATCCCGGGATCGTTTCGGATGATCTCCAAGGGAGGCGAGGGAAAAAACTGCCCCGATGAACATTTCCCTATCCAGGGTGATATCGATTATCAATTTTGTCGGGGCACTAACAAATTCTCGCAGTTTGTTTATCCGGCCAGCCACGCATGCGCGACACTAGCTATAAAAGGTCAGGTATATACCTACCGCGAGCTTAGTATCTAGTGGAGTTTTATTTATTTCTGGAGCGGATTTACGCTCGGCAGGGCTGAGACTTTTTTCAAGAAAACGAAAGAGAAAAGAATCCCTGACATCGACTAACATTCGGCTGCCTCCGACCGCTGCGCATCGACCGTCTTAGGTAATTCTGAACATTCCCTCGCCCTAAACAAAATTCATAATTAACTATTGAAATTAAATCGGCTAGACTAGACATTTCGAGAAGGCACCGCGGTTTCCCTTTCACGGTATTTAAATATCTTCTGCACTTTCGTTGCATTTTTCTTCTCTTTTCTTTTTTTTTTTTTTTTTCTCATGCACGAAGTATCGACGATAACGAAAAGCCGCGAAGAAAATTTCCCTGCGAGGTCGGGCGTCAAAGTGCGAGGGTACAAGTGAGGAGAAAAATTCGGGACAGGGGAATAACGTTAAGAAATAAAATAAATATTCGAGCCTACGAGGTCGATCTCGGTCACGTCGAGTCGCGGTGCGTGTCGTTGATTCAATGCTTAGAGACATTCGATATCGCCGCTCCTCCGAGAAACGCGAGCAATCACGTGCGGGGGTAATAATTTAATTCGCTATCTCGCCGGTTTATATTCATCTCGATCGAACCCTACGAAACTAGGCGATAGCGTCGATTGATTTTCCATTTCACCCCGCATTTCTGGGAATTTAAAAGTCTCCCCCTCCCTGTTCAAAGAGACGATACCGAAGGGATACGACATAAAAAAGAAAGGAATAACCGTGCAAGTGCGGGCGCGCCAAGTGATTTGCATCGATTTAATGCCCGCCCGCGTTAATTATCCCGCCTCGCGGGAGCTTATTTCCGGAGCGGATTTACGGTCAGGGAAGTTCGACAAAATTCCCGAATTGGCACCGCGCCTGCCACTCGGAATCGCGCCCGTTATTCCGCAGCGAATCGATCGCGGGTACATACCGGCACGATTTCGCCAGGTCTCGTTACTTCGCACCAGTCGAGAGAAGACTCTAAGATCGCGACCTGCCCGTCGAGAGATAAAAATCCCGTAGAAGCGTCCACAGTATATTTAAAGGAAACCATCACTCGCGAAGGTTCCGTTTCTAAACAAAAAAACCAAAGTCCTCGTCGCGTCTCTCCGTATTCCCGGAATCTTTCCTCGAGGCGGTCGGGGTATTCGAAAGTGGCGCGCCGGCGGCCATCTTGTCGTTTCGAATCTCGCGGGCAGGAGGCGCGCGAGGGATTCTGGGCCGATAGAAGCCCCTGATAGAAGACCCTACTCGGCGGCCAATCGACGCTCGGCTCGCGGTCCTCGGGGCGCTTCAATCTTCAGGCCGATCCGAGAGGGATTTTCAGAGTGTCCGGCCAGGCAGCGCGTATAAAAATCGCCGAGTGAGGAAAGGAGTCGCCGCACGCAGGGAAGAGCCGCGACGAGCCAGGGGTGTGTGAACGCAGGACAGAGACAGAGAGAGGGAGAGCCTCGCGTGCGTCCCGTCGTTCCCGCCGGTCGAAAGGGTTTCGCGTACAGAGAAAAGGTGAGAGACCCGCCGAGGTGCGAACGTCGGACCGGGGAGAAAGAGAGAGCCCGCCGCCTCGTAGCTGTCGCCCCGGGTGCCGCGATTTCTTCCGAAACCCCGGGACCGGGGGAAAATGAAAAGGGGAAGGAAAATCGGGGAGCCGAGCCGCCGGCGAGCGGTGAGTCGCGGGGCCTTTCGCGTTATATATCGCGTTATATCTCGCTATATCTCGTTATATCGCGCGACGACCCACTTTTGCGCGCCGATCGCGTGCCGAGCAGCCGTCCCAGTCCGGGTCTCCTCGTTCCGTCCTATCGATAAAACTTTCGCCCCCCTCGGGGTGGCCCGAGGGATTTAACGAGTCGTATATGTATAAGGACGCGGACGGAGGCGCACCGGGACGCGCTCACCGGCGACGGCATGAGAACACGCTCCCCGGGCATGCCGCTCTTCGGCATCCGAGCAACTGTCAGAGTCGCGCGCGTACCTATCAGGTTTACTCGGCTCTCCCGAATCGCCCCTAGAGAGAGCTTCCCTATCGGTGTGAGGTGTAGGACGGATTCTTTGAGGTCCCCTTGTCGGTAGTCGCGACGGGCCCACTAGGCGACGCATGGATCGGGTCCTTAGCGAGACCTCCAGCCGAGGCATCGGTTGACGGTTGACTCGTGCACCGAGCTGGAAGGTATTTGCGGATGCGCTGGGCTCGATAAGATGCAGGGATGATTGGGTTTTCAGCACCGTTTCGTTACCTTGCGCTATTAATATTCCTAGGAGTGGGTCGGCGTTTGCAAAGCACGTATCGATCAAAGTGCCGGTGGTAGTCCGTGGAGTGTCAGGGACGGTTCGAAGGTACCTGCAACAGAGAGACGTAGAGTTATACGGGGGTGGATACATAGGGATGCTCGTGCGTTGAAGGCTCGGGTGTACTTTTAAATCTATGTAAATGGGTATCGGCAAGGATGACCGGATGACTTTGGTTCTAGAACGGACAAAATGTCGGACCGCAAGGCAGTGATCAAGAATGCGGACATGTCGGAGGAGATGCAACAAGATGCCGTCGATTGCGCCACCCAGGCTCTCGAGAAGTACAACATTGAAAAGGTATCTATCCAGATTTGGTTACGTGCAGTGGTTGTTTATAATCCGATCTCAAAGGACTCGAGCTTAAATCATGCTTTGACGAGCGAGTAGTTACGGCAGAGAAAGTAATAACGGTCTTCCGGGTGTTCCAGGACATCGCTGCATTTGTCAAGAAGGAGTTCGATAAAAAGTACAACCCGACGTGGCACTGCATCGTCGGGCGCAATTTTGGTAGCTATGTGACGCACGAAACAAGACATTTCATCTACTTTTACCTGGGTCAGGTAGCCATTCTCCTCTTTAAGAGCGGATAAGCTGGTTTCTATTCTCTGTACACTCCCTTCCTCCGGATCCCCCGCCCTCGCCCCTCCAAACAAATCGCCATGCCACTTATGAATTAAATTATATTACGTGTAAGAATGCATGAGAACTGAATTTTTAAATGAGAGAGCGCGCGCGAAAGAGAGAAAGAGAGCGAAAGAGAATGAGAGACCGAGCGAAAGGAAGCGAGACAAGTCCCGAAAAGAGGAAACCGAAATGGAAAAAAGAAAAAAAGGATTCGACGTTGTACCACCTCGACAAGTTGTTACAAGTTACACGAAAGATCGAGCATAGAATTATGTCGTCGCGGACGGATAATCGAAAAAGGGTAGGGGGACTCACGTGAAACAAACAAAAAAAAAGAAGAAGAAGATTGACATACCACCTTACATGTTGAAATGTATTGTGTATGCCAAAAACTTTGTTGTGTTCTTGTTTTATATTAGGTATATATATGTAAGGTTGGGTTCAGTGCTGGCGATTTTAAATCGGAACAAGGAGAAAACCATTTAAATGTGACTAGCTCGTAGGGAATATCTATATCGTTCGCATGGCGCTATCGAGCGTTGATATATATATATTTTTTTTGTTATTGCACATGGCAAAAAGAAGAAAATGAGAAAGAAGAGAGAAAGAACGGGCAGAATTGGCGAACGGCGGTGGCAGATGAAGTCTTAAATATCGTCCCAACTAACCCCAACGCTACACACATTACGTTTAGAGGATTTACAGAGGTTCTTTTTGTTTACCTTTTTTTTTCCCCCTTCCTCACTCTCTTTTCTATTAATTGTTTGCCACTTTTATCCGGTCAGAGACACTTTATTAAATGGCTAAGCCGAGGGAAGCCTATTAAATAGGCTCTCGACCCGCCGACGGAGGGCTCTTTTGAAATACAATAGAAAGAAATGGACTCTGCGTTTTCTCCGTCCTTCCGTTCGATTCCTTCTTTCTTTGCTCTTCGCAGTCTCTCCTTTCTTTTCTCCTTAAGGTCAGGAAATAAAACCTTGCACTCGCGCGCGATGGCTATTCACCGCTGGTTAATATCGGCCGTTCTAACGCTAACCCGCTATAATTAATTAATTAATTAACGTTAGGGACGTTCGTTACCTACCGTTATATTTTGTAATCGGCACGTCGCGGACTTGACACCGAAGAAAGGGATAGAGAGTGCGGGAATCTTCTCCGTTAGTCGGGGCGACGCAAACTGAAGAGCGGCAAAAGGAAAAGCGAGCGAACGAGGAAAGAAAAGGGAGGGGGAACGAAACAAAAAAAAAACGAGAGAGAGGGAAATCGGAAAACTCGGAGCCCCGGAGTCCCCGTTTGTTCTGTCCGAAAATCATCACGCCCCCCCACACACCTTCCGACCGTCATTTAAATACTCTATATATATTATATATATATACATAGCAACATTATACATACTATTAAATAGATTATACGTAATAACGCTATTTATACATAGTGCAATCTCCATGCGATTATTCCATGCAGTTCCGCCGTGGGAAGGAAACATGCATATATACAGAAAACTTATATGTATGTATATACATACGTACACTTCGGAAGAGGGAAGCGCGAGGTCCGAAATTCTCGGTCAGATGAAGGCCCCAGTTTTTCGGCGCGATTCATTGCGAAGCTGCATCCCGGTGCTCCGAGGCCGCCCCTCGAAACAGAGAGAGAGAGAGAGAGGAAGAGGGAAGGAAACGGGAATGAGGAATAAATCGGTAGCTCGCTCCCTACGTGGTCCGCCGATTCTCGCCGGAAGTCGGGACGGGACACTTTAGAAAAGGGAAAGATGATTATGCATCCCCTCTGTTTCTCGGCTCTCAAGGGAAGATCGCTCGAGATGAAAAGAAAAGGCGATAAGAGAGATAACACGGAGTGGGTCGACGCGAAAGGCCAACAAGGGGACGAAGGAAAGGGGCGAAGGTCCTTCGAGCATTTTGCCGCGCCCACGTGTCTTCCCGAGCGGAGAGAGCGGTAAACTGAATTTCCGACAATTATCGGGGCATTTGCCAGTTTAATGGCGATCTCGAGCACTTTCGCCCACCTCTCGTGCAAAAACAAAAGCGAGGGAGAGAAACAGGGGAGGCGAGGAAATACGCGACGCACGTGTTTTTGTAGATTTAACGGAGAAAAAAGAGAATCCGACCACGAGGGAGCGACTTAGCTTGCGAACGCCTAATTGCAACCTTTCGACCGGGGTGAGAAATACAAAGAGAGAGAGCGAAAGATCTTCCGATGGTGCTTCGAGATTATACGCCCCCCCTTTTATTAAATTTATCTATCATATATAAATAGGCTTATATATTATACATAAATTTAATATCTCTGTACATTATATATAAATATTAAGCGCGTCGCGACCGTCGTTGTATACCCGAGGAGGGCGAGGAAAGAGAAAGAGAGAGAGGTTGCATCGAGGGCGTGAATCGTGTGCACCGAGACGCGACACTTTAAAGGTTTAAAAAAAGCTCTTCCCACTGATCGATCCATCGATGCGTTTATAAAGCGTACTCCTTGCGGCGTAAGGAGAGAACGAAGGAAAAGGGGGAGAGAGAGAGAGAAAAAAAAGAAGTGGGGAATGGCCCGCGACCCGCGCCAGTTACTTTTAATTGAACCTGCGGCCTTTTATTTATACACGTATAAGGGCGATCTACGGATATAATAGGACAATTGAGGAGACGACTGAAATAAAGGCCTTAGTTCAATGTATTTCGGATACGCCGAAAAGGCCGTTACTTTAGCCTTGTCCCGAACGCGACGAGCCGAGAGCCGTACCTACGTGTCCCGTTTCGCACGCCTCTTCGTTCTTCGCAAACCCCTTTAATTGGTCCCGAGACTTCGTCAGCTTCGTTGCACGCCGAAGCGATAGCGTTTAAGCCGCCCCTACCCTACGAAGATGACAATCGAGCCTTTTATATCGAGGGGCGTACCATTACCGGGCTTTGGATTTCGCGTTTTCCTCTTTTGTCCCACCCACGTTTTTCTACGAGTTTGTACGGAGTGGCGCTCGGTGCCACGTGTCTACCACGTGGACGGGAGAGGTTAACTTTCGTTCGCCTGGCGGAGCGTCGACTTCTGCGGTTAGGAATTCGGCACGCAGCCTGATAAGAGGGAGAAAAAAGTACTTTCGATAGAGGGACCGTATTAATTTAATGTTGTGGACCTTTGGATGGACTATATTGTGTGTATCTCATTACCTGCTCTGTCTGAAGCTGCATTCTCCAATACTAAATACTAATACAGTTGTCTCTAAAGATAACACGACTCTCTTTGGATATCTCTCCCATCGCGCATTTCCGTGGTTCATTTGTAATCCTTTAGGTCGGCTTGAACGGTTTTTTCTTTTCGGTTTTATGGTTAATCGAGAACGAGGGTTTCACTTTGTAAGACTCGAGGTAATACTCGTTGACATGGTAACCGAGAAACGCACTTTTAACCACTTGGGATTGAAGGATACCGTTTTATTTACATGTAGAATTAGGGTGCTCGAGTCTCACAACTTGAAACCCGAGTGTATGGCTACGACTCCAAATGTCAGGTTCTTGTAAGTCACTTGTCTAAAGCCGACCCCTTCGATCATGTCCTGGAATAAATTCGAAATGAATCCTGGCATCGTTGACTCGTGGAAGGGCTAGCTTTTTAAAACGTACTTTGAAATCCTCCTGCTTCGGGAATCTCCTTATACTCTCTACGAGATACCGATATGCTTCCCACTGTCCAGCGATTAAGGTCCCCATTACGGGTATTACTTGGAATGAGTACTTGTCGTACAACCTGAAGTATAGGATTCAAAATGAGAATTTGGATGCTACTGTTAAATCGTTACTGAAAATATTCACCATCGAAGCATTTCGTTGTTCACTTGACTGAATTCTAGGCACAGAAATCGGCCTCCTGGTCGAAGTACTCTATAAGCTTCCGATAAGGCCTCTTCGACGTGAGTTACGTTTCTTATGCCAAATGCAATTGTATACGCGGTGAAGGATTCATCCGCAAAGGGCAATTTCTCTGCGTTAGCACATTGCCAATCGATATCGCAGCCATTTTCCACGGTCCAGCCTAAACGCCGAGCTCTAATTTTCCCAACCTCCAACATATGCTCGTTGATGTCACTAACCGTGACGTGACTTTGAACCTTCTTAGAATTTGTAGTTTTCTTCAGATAATTTAAGTATCGAAACGTTATATCTCCCGTTCCACCTGCACAGTCTAGCAATCGACACCCATGCGTGGGAGCTAAAGTCTCGATAAAGATATCCTTCCAAATGCGATGTATGCCCAGACTCATCGCATCGTTCATTACGTCGTACGAATTGGCTACATTTTCGAATACACTGTGCACTAAAAAACAATGCCGACATTAAATACTAGGGAACTGTTCGCATGATTTATTACTACAGGGAAATAAACCAAAATCATACCTCAACGCCGACGTGACAAGTAGCACAAATAATTATAAAACAATTAATAGAAGAGTGTTACTAGCCTTACAGATTTAGCAAAGGTCCTTACCATTAATAACGAACGTTAGTAACCTCGTGCCAACGGATATCACCGGCGAAAGCAAATAAATACTCCACTAACAACCTAACCCACATCCTACTGTCCATAACCTCGAAAGTACCTTTCTTCGTCTTCTCGCTCTCCTTGACGGTTTCGAACCCGAAGTGCGTCGTACCGTCTTCCGCATGATCCGCTCTAGGTTCCGCGGAATAAGCACGCGTACTTCCTGTTAAGTATTTTCTCCAACACTTGTCTTTTCCGCACGACACAAATTGAGACAACGATCCGCGAAGAGCCATGTTTGTACTAACTTGCCGACACGTGTAGACGCGAGACAGACCTGCGCAACGACCGCCCACTACCGCCACCTCCCGGCATGCCGTCGAACCGCGACGCGCGCATTTTGAACCGACATTTCCACAAACTACATTCCGAGGAGAGTAACGAAAGCGAGCACACTCCAGAAATTACCTCGCGTTTAAATAAGAAACGCGTCCAATATAAACGTGGACCAGTTTCAAGTCGCTACCGCAGTGCGCCACCGTTCTCCAATAAAAAAAAGAAAATAACAAAAGCAACCAGACACTTCGCTACTTCCTTACCCGAGTACATGAATTACGTGTCTCGTCCTCTAGAAACAGTTCCGGAATAAAGTCCTCCGACGTCAGGAAGAGATAAATGACCGGGCACCGCCAGCTTCCTTCCCATTACGTTTTCCAACTTTATTTCTCCTTAACGCTAAGAACTAAGTCATTAGTTGCAGTTAAAATCCTCGTTGATTTTACATTAAAGACAAAAATACGATCTAATATTTACAAATGAGGTTGTGTAACGTAAGCTTAAAAGTAAGTCTGCGCAAACGGAGGGGGGGCCCCCTGGCGGTCGCCGCGCGCATGCACGCGAACCGATCGATCGCGCGACATGTCCCGTCTACTCGATCCGCGATCCCCGTGGCCGAGTTCGTCGGCCGAGCCCGCGCCGTTTTGAAAATTCCCGCGAGGGAGGAGGGAACGAGACCGGGGGACGAAGATAGGATAGACGAGAAACCGCCGTTTCGCTCGTGCCTCGAGCGAATCGACGGACAAACTCGCCGTTCGTCGCTACCCTCGGAAACGGCCTAAAACATTTACTAGCCCTTCGAGAGGTGTACCAATCGTCCTATTTACAGATGAGAATTATCGGCTACGGTGTGCCTACCAGCGATTCAACGATATACATATATATATATACGTATACGCAAAGGCCGGGTCCAGCGCGTCGCTCGTCGCGGCCTCTCGCGTATAACCTCAAAATCCCGGCCCTCGCGTATAACCTCAAAATCGCGCCCTCTTGCCCGGTGTAAATCGGCGTTCGGCGATCGAAGGGAGACGGAGAAGAATCGCCGGCCCTTCCCCGGCAGGGGGGCAAAAGGGATGACACGAGAAATAGGACGCGAGAGGAGGGTCAGGGGGTAAATAATTAAAGGCGTCGGGACGATCGACCCGCCTCCCGAATCGGCGGAGAGAAAGAGAGAGAGAGAGAAATATATACGCGGGAGGAAGTTACGATGACGACCTCGGCCGACGAATCGCGTCCCCTATTCCCGTTTCCCTCCTCCCCGATAAACAAAATAGAATTTTCTTCACACTTTCGGACGAGACGCGCCCTCGGTTATCCGGCGCATCCCCTCGCAGGACGGTCAGTCGAAAGCTCCCCCACCTAGGTACCCTACGCTTCTCGGGTCCGCCTGGACTTCCGGTCGCGCATGCGCGTCGATCGCGGTAATCGAAGATCAGCGAGGAATATCGAAAGTTTCGCACCGATTCCCCGTTAACGGAATTACCCCTCGGGTCGTTTGAAATTTTGGCGAAGGCGAGGACGTCAATAAATTGCGATCGCGAGGAATTCAGAGCGCGGGAGGAATATCGTAGGACCGCGTCGATTGCACGTTGACAAATTACCGCCCGCGGGTCGCAATAAATACGGGAACGGTCCTCCGGCGAGCCGGCAACCCCTAAGAGGACGCGCCGATCTATGTACAATGAAGACCCCCCAAGGGGCACCCCCCTCTCTCTCACTCTCCCTCCCACCGAGAAATGTACACGATTAATCGCCCATCGGCTACTTTCGACGATTCGCAAATAAATGCCGGCCCACCGACGTGCCTCTACGACCGTTCGACCCGCTCGTTCTCCGGCCGGAGAAAAACGGGGGGAAAAGGAGAGAGAAAAAAAATAATACCATACGCTCGAGACGATTTCCGAACACCTCTACCATAAATACTACCGAGCCACGTCGCAGGTGGTCAGCCGGGCAGTTTTCGACTTTTTCCTCCTCCGGGCGAAGGGGTCATTCGTCCGGGTCCCACAAAAGAGAAGAAGATGATCCGATTTCTCGAGGACGAGAGAAGTTCACTCTCCGATGGTAGTCGTTGAAAATCCAATCGGAGCGCCGACATCGCCAATATCGCCGATTTCTCCCCTTCGCCCGGAGGTTCCCGCGGAGGATCCCGGAGCGTTTCCTGGAGTCTCTTCGGGTGGACGATAAATCGTGGGAGACCCCCGGAAGCCGAGAAACTGCCCGGCCGGGCCCTGCGACCGGCTGGAGAAGCTAGAATTTTCCGTTTTCATTAGATATATGTATACATATGTATATATATACGTATGCGTATAGGTAGATAGATAGATAGGCGTGGATAGATAGATGGATAGATAGATAGATATACAGAGACGTACGCGTAAGTGGTGTATGTATTACCTACGGGAGGATACCTCGAGTAAAGAGGAGAGAGAGAGAGAGAGAAAGAGGGAGATGCAGGGCAAGCTTACGAGTCCGTGGAATCGGGCCCGGCCTTCTTTAACCCGGGGAGCGTAAATGCGCGGGTCGGTCCGGTCGGGAGGGCCACTCTCTTCTCCCGAGAGGAAACGAAATAAGGGAACGCAGCGCGCTCTCGATCGGCGATCCTCGGCGTCGGCTCGGGGCTACACAGAGAGACGACAATAGGTATATATGTACACGTGTGGTTAATGCGTCGGTAAGAGTGCGGTAGAGCAGAGAGCACGGAGCGTGGGAGAGAGCACGGCTGCGAGGACTCCTCTCTCTCTCTCTCTCTTTCTCTATCCCTCTCTCTCTGGCGGGCGCGCGCGATTGGTTTGGTTGGGCCTAACTGTATATATTAGGTTTGGGAATAAATTCATAGCGTTTTTATCAAAGACTCTTATTATAAAAACGCTACGAACCTATTCCCCAACCTAGTGATAATGGTAAGAGGTTCTAGGTTAGGTACCGGGACGGGGACCGCGAGGCCGATGCGCGGAAAGGCGTCGAGTAAAGGAGTCCGCGGGCGGTCGAGGGGCTCTAGCGGGGGGAATATATATATATATATAATATATCTGACTTTTTAATTCGATCGTAACTACCGTCAGAGATCCAACGGGCTTCGTCCGCCGGTCGGTCGTCTCGCGGCCCCAAAGTGGCGTCGAAGAGGACGGCGCCGTAGGTACGACACCGATTCGCGGGGTAACAAAGTCTCTAATCCGAATAGGGGGGGGCTCTCGAACCGCGCGTCGTCAACGTGCCTCGTGCCGATCATATATATGTATATATATATATAATAATAGTATGTATAATATATATATTTTTCGTATATATATATATATGTACCTACTATCTGCATATCACAACATAAATTTATTCTCTCCGTCCTCGCGCGCGTTCTCAGGCAGGCAGACACTCGCGCTTCGCTCGCGCTTCGCTCGCGCTCAAGTACGCACTCATACACGCATGACCCATCTACAGTAATCGTAATAATGCTGCGGTAGGTGGATAGTGGCCCGGCACCGCCGGCCCGACCAATCGGAGCGAGGGGTGCCGCGACCGGCCAATCGGAGCGCGCCGCGACCGCGACCGCGACCGGACGACCGGACTCCCCTAGACTCCCCTGGGTCTAGACATCCGACATGGCCGCCGCTTCTCGGCGGGTCACGTGACCGCCGGCCAATCTCCGGGCGCCGCGAGGTGGCTCGGGCCGCCCGGTTGGTCGGCCGCCTCCTGGGGCCGCATCCCGCCCGGCTAGTCGCGGGCCTCGACCACTAGCGATCGTACTTCAGCATAAAACCTTCAGAGAAACCATGGCCCATCTTCGACGTGACTCCGGCGCATCCGCCTAAAGGGTGTCCAGGGCGGCCGGCGGAGCTTTAGAGTATGCAGCAGGAGGCCGAGCAGCAACTGCTTCCGCCGCCTTTACTCTTCTGCCTCTGATCTGGAAATAGGAGAAGAGGGGTTAGAGCGAGAGGGTACACCCGCACACGGGGAGGAGGACTTACCCCTGGAGCGTCCCCAGGGGAAAGTCAAACGTGGCGGAAATACGCGACGCCTGCCCGGCGGAAGGTGCACGATCTCGTTAATTCCCCAGGTTCTACCGAGTTTCCGGGTCCTTGAGGGCCGGAGGTGCGCCGACTCGGGGTGCGCTTCCACGAGGCGATTCCAAGGTCGCGCGTGGATCCTCCCCGTTGCAGCCGTTGGTCATGAGCCGCCTCCCGGTTTCCCGCGCGGCGAGCCTCTCCAGGGGGCGACGGACGGGGCCTGGGGAGAACGCAAGGAGGGAGGAGGGTCCGGAAGGACGTTTACCCTAAGAAACCGGTAAAGGGACCGCGTGGCCATACTTGCACCGGGAAGGGAGGAGGGCCGGGGTGGTCCGGGACACACGGGGCACGCACACCTCGGGACTTACTGCGCGAGCACCTGGGCCCTGGACTCGTCCCTCTAGGTGTCGTCGAGGTCCTCGACCTCGTCGGGCAGGACGTGCATGTACTCGCCGTTAGGCAGGATGCCTGCAAGGACGACAGGCTTTCACCGGGCCTTTTCCCGTTTCCGCGTATCTCTCTCTCTCTCTCTTTCCCGTTTCCATTTTTTCTCTTTCTCTCTTTCTCGCCTCCCCCCGCGCCTTCGCGCATGACCAACAGGAGCAACGGGAACGAGTCGGTTAACTCCTTGGATTTATTTTCTTTTTTTTTTTCCTCACCCCCTGGCCTCCTTTTCTCAGGGTCGAAGAGGGTCTCGGCTCACCTTGGGAATTAGGCGCCGGGAGGTTCTCCCTGGGTACGAGGTGCATCACCGTCGTCTTGCCGAAGGGAAGCCCGAGAGCACCGAGCGTGACGTTGCTGTGCAGGAAGCGACCCTGGTAGATCAGCCGCAGGATCTCGGCCTTGGCGACGGCCTCCTCCGCCCAGTCTGGAAAGAATTCGGCGCCAACTTTAGCCCCACGGTGCACGCGTTTTCTACCTCCGGGCATATCGAGCACGTACCTTCGGGCCAGTTCTCGAAGACATGGTGCGCTATGTCCCCCGCTGAGTCGCTGGGACTGAATAGGAACTCTTTTGTCTTACCGCTCACGAGGATCAGCCGTAGGTTTATCTGAAATACAAACGAAGAGGCGTTACCGACTAGAATCGTGACTTTAATCCAAGACGTCCGGAGAACTAAGCGACGAATTCCGCCCATGCGGAGGGACCGGAAGTTCGCGGCGAGGTATTTTTTTTTTCCTCCCTTTCCCCGGGATATCTGCTGCCCGCAGCGATCCTAGCTCAAAGAGTCCTCTTTCCATTCAATGGCTCACTAAATCCGACCGGGTCGCATTCGGTATACTCGGGGGCTCGTGGAAGAGGCGCGTTTCTTCGGCCTTTTCCGAAAAGCTCTCTACCTCGGTTCCCGTGTGCGAAAATGACCCGGTTTCGAGCGTACCTTTTCCTGCCGTCGTTTTCGCCGACAACGGAAAGTCGAGAGAAAAATGGGGGAAAAAAAAGAAGAAAAAAAAAAATAGCAGAACGGAGGAAAGGGGACGGACGAGCTTCCAAGGTGACGGGGGTCCCGAGGGAAGAGGAGAGCAGGGCACCTTGGTCGGGTCGAGGGCATATAAAGGCGATTCGTGGAATCGATCCCGAGGCGGCCGAGACGGACACGCTGGACCGCGTCCAGAATCCGAGGGTCCGGAGATCCTTCGGGAGAGGAGGAGGGCCATAAATCACGGGGACCCCGTCGTGGGGCCGGTCCGAAACGATCCATGGGATCTACGGGATTAGAGGACTCGACTGCACGGGAACCAACACTCGTGACACCATATAAACGCGTACAGGACGCGGACCTTAAAGTCAACCAGAGAGAAACCACGTATTAATTTTAATCGAAACAAAATTAATTCCCCGAACCAAAGAAATATATATATATATTTTTTTTTTAACGGTACCAAAGAAACGTTCCGTTAATTCCAAGAATCATTATCTGACTTAAATATTTAAACGGATCGTCATAATTCCGGAGAAAAAGAATAACATAAAAAAAATTCGGCAGATACAAGAAAACGTTCGGGAATTTACGGGTATAGCCGGATATAATACGGGTATCCACGTGCATGATAAAAAGGGGTTCGAACCCCCTCCCCCTGCGGCGCACCTGTTCGCCGCGGTCTACCTTGACTCGGCGAACGTGCGTCATAAACGGCGTCGCGGCGGGATTGGCCGAACCGGGTCATTGGGGCATGCGGGTGGTGCCGTGCGGGGGGAGAGGGGTAGGGGAAGGGGGCGCCACTCTAGCGCGACTCCCCGGCCGGTGCGCGCGCAGCTGCATCGATCACGGCGCGGCGCGCGCAGAGGCCGCCTCTCTTCGAGAGATCGAACGCGGTCCTGCCCAATCGTTTCCCCTGGAAAGAGAGGTAAGAGCTCCGAGAGTAAGATAAAGGCGGAGGATAGTGAGAAAGGAGTAACGGAGATTCGCATATAAACGCGGAGGCCTTGGGAGCCGCGTTTATCGCGAGAAATGCAAAAACGAAATGAGCCGACCTCTCGGCGGCCGCCATCTTGTTTTCCCCGCTCCCACTACCTCTAGGGATACGCAAACGCGTTCGCCGTTGCGACTGCGACGGGCCGCAGGGTCGCAGACGTTGGGAAGGGAGAAGGGGAGAGAGAGCGATTTCTTTGACGGAAATTAGGCCGAAACGGCCGCGAGGGGTAACGGCGCTCCATTGTGCCTCGCCTCCCCCGCTGCGGGTCAGGGCCACCGCCGAGAGGCCCGGAAGAAAGGCGCGGCGCCACCTGGCGGCGAACCACGTGCACCCTCTTCTCCCTATGCACGACGCGCCGTTTCACGTAGGTTACGCTCCCCGAGGTCGGCCGTTAGTCGTTCGCGGCCGGCTGTAAAATGGGGATTCCGTAACGGAGGCCGAGAAAAGGGACCCGCATTTCGAGGACGCACTACGGGGTGATTCTTTCCACCGTGGACATAAAGGGATCCGGAGGAAAGAAAGAAAAAAAAAGGAACACCGGGCCCGTGGGGGGGGACTCAAGAAAGCCGCCGTGAATGGTAATGGTCATCGCGAGGACAGCCTCGGTTGCCCGGATCGGCCGTGGGACGACGGAGATTGAATTAAAGGAGACGCGCCGCTCGGTACCGAGTGGGCTTCCAAGATGGCGGCGCCCTCCCGAGTGCTCTCTCGGTTATATTTATTTTCAGCGGGAATATCGGCCAGATATCACGGTACGGGAGGGGGATATACTTCCGCCGTTGGAAAACGCAAACGAGGGCTCGATGCGTGCCCGGCCCTCCCCCCCGGGGAATTAACCGACTCTTAAATTGAATTAAACCGGGGAGCGGTCACGTGAAGGGACCAACGACCGGGCGCGTCACATCGGAAACGGCCAATCAGGCCGCGGGATTCCGGCCAGAAACCCTAGACCCGCGGGCTCGGCGCTAATGCCCGGTAATTCGCGTCTTCGCCGAAGGATCCCACCGCGGACGGTTAATTACGCCAATTTCCGCGCCCGACCCCGGGGTTAAACGGCGATATTTCGCCCCGGCCCTCGTCGGCGCGACGTCGCGATGGATCGTAATTATTAACCGTTTCAGTGGCAGGGGTTTTTCAAAATCCGTATGTCGGATTGTCCCATGAAGCGCGATAGCGTTGCGAATTGACGATCGGGACCAAACATCGCGATCGCGCTGCGTGGCACTAAAACGGTTCATGCGAATTCAGGCAGGACCGCCACCCGCCTAAAAGCGCGGCAAATTCAAACGGCGCCGAACCGAGGGGGAGTCGAAGGGGTGAAAACGCGATCTTTCGTATTCCGAGCATCCTCGCTGTCCGTACAGCTTCTTTTGCAAACCTGGGGGACATCTTCACGGTTGGCCGTGACTCTAGGATTTCCGGAATTCGTCCGAATCGTGGTATGTATACTTGCGGGCAAAGAGAGGCGCCGATGCCCTCGAGAGAGGACCGAAGAGATATTTCGTTATTAAGGAATAATTAGATTTACCTCGAACCGAAATAAATTGGACGCAACGCTTCATATGGAATTACGAAGATTTATATTAATTAATATAAAGACCCGGCTCGATAATTACTGGGCGCGATCGAGGGATTCTCGAGTGACGGAGAAAGAGCGGAGAAAAAGGAGGAAAAAAAAAACAGCGACGCGGTCGCCCCTCTTCGGGAATGCGACACCTTAACGAGACGCGCGACCGACGCCTAATAATCCCTCCTCGACCCTCCTCCTCGTCTGGCTCGGTTCCAACGTCCCGGAGACCCGATTCTCAGCCTCGAAACGCTTGACCCTCTCCATCGCGAGGCCGGGGGAGAATATAAAAAGGGGCCTAATAAACGAGTCAACGGAAATACCGGACGGGAGAGGAAAAAAAAAAAACAAAAAGAAGAAAAGACAGAGAGAAAGAAAAACCGCGGAATCGTGCATCGACCGGCCTTTGATCCCCCCCGGGGGGTCTCGCCTTGACCGGATTTGCGTCGTCGTCCTCCTCGACGTCGACGTCGGCGACGACGTAAAGGGGGGAAAACGCGTTATCTGAAAAATGTCCGGGATCGGTCAATGGGGATATTTTTTTCCTCGTCCGAGAATCCTGGAAAGGTTTGAACGTATCGAGTCCGTCAAGCCGTAGAAACGCGGCAGTAACGTCGGAGCCGTTGGCTCTTGGGGGCGCGCGTAATTGCAGGTAATCGGATTGACCGACAATCGAAGGCGAAGGGGTGTATAACGTACAGGAGAGAGGGGAGGGGCTCGGTCGGGATTTCGCGAGAGGCCAAAGCAACGAGGTCGACTCGACGTTGAATTTTCATGTCGGGGCTTTGAGGACCGACGAGGAGGGTCTGGTAAAAAATTTCAAGCCAAGACCAAGAGAGATGGGAAAGACCGAGATACCAACGCCGGAGGGTCTGCCGACTTCGTAGGCGAGAAACTGAGAAACCGAGAAATCGAGAGGGAATCCGAGGGATCGAGGCCAGCGACAGGGGCATCCGCTCGAGGAGGGTTTCCGGCGTCTCATCCGGCTCGCGGGCGGACTAAGACTCCCCTCCGTCCCCCGGAGTCGTCCAAGGAAGCCGGATCCCGGGCAAGCCCGTCCTCGGGCAGGAAACGAGGAACCGGTTCCTCCTCCTCCTCCCCCTTCCCTCCCGAGATCCACAAGGTGTCTCCTCCGCGATCTGCCTCGTCGTTTCGAAACGGAGATGTCCCTACATAGACCGTCCGCGAGGTATCGACGCGATCCCGGATCGGTGCATGTGCCTGCCCCGAACGAGTACACGTGTACATACATGTATTCGTACATGGTTGCCTATCCCGCGAACCTACGCGCGCGCTTTGCTATAGTCGATGCTAAGTTGATAGGAGAGGGAGATAGAGAGAGAAGAGAGCCGGGAATCCCGATCGATCGACCGTCCCCCCGGTCCCGCGATCTCGCAAGGCTCCGCGACCTCCGGCGCGGTCCGCGGCCTCGCGCGCAATGAGCCATGCGGACCGCTCCGCGGGCCTTATATACCCTTCGGGGCTCCGCTCGAAATCTCCAAATTTTCCTCCTCGAAGGGAAGGAACGGAAAGAGAGAAGAAAGAAAACCGAGCCCTAGGCTCCTGTATACGTAACCTCAACGGGGAGAGGGATTTAATAGCCCACCCTCGGGTGTGCGTCTCCCTCGTGTCGAGCGATCGCGTTACTTGGAGGTCCCCACCCGGGATAAAATTCGGCCGAGCGGTCTCGAGTTTCCCGGCGACGCC